TATATATATATATTTATTTAGTTTTACCTCCCCCACGTCCCCCACACATCTTTGGTTGCACGTAAAGTTGGGCAATTTGGAAGCTTCGTGCCACTGATTAGAGGGTCTCCGCACTCAAACTACCTGCAAGTGGATGTGGAACTCTAACACCTCTCTACCCGAAGAGGAAAAATTGAATAATGATTAAAATGACTAGGTTTCACAGGCAAAACTAACCTTGTCTACTACACTAGAACTCTTCTGACCAGCTTTCAACATAGTCCAATTGACACCAAGACTGCAAACTACTGAAAGTTCCCTGAAGCAGGAACAAACACATGCTTTTGTTATGGAAAAAAGTGGTATAAAAGAGTTTCTGGAAACAGCCATGGCATGCTGAGAACATTATCAATGGAATCATTCCAACTCTACACTATTCAGTACTGATCTGTTAAGCTCTTTCCTTGCCCTCCCCACCCCAACCCTTCCATGCTTCAATAACAAATTCACCTGGAAGCAGACTCAGAGAAAACAGAGTTCCTGCGCTCCTGTCCAGTAGTCAAACTTGGATAAATATGAGTGAATTACAGGATCTACTGTTAGGGTTTTTCCCAGGAATACAAAATGCAAGCACCGTAGAGCATACTGGCCTTGAAATTACATTACACTACATTTCCCTGATGATCTCCACAGCTTAAAAATGCTTTAGGGGCCACACTGAAAGTCTAAAAACTAACTTGCAATAGTAAGAACATTAAACAGGAATAAAACTTTTAATTATGAATGCATGATGAGCATGAACACCCACATAACATCAGAGCTGAGACTATTCCAGGAAAAAAAATCTCAATGGTGCCCTGACTGGACCCAATACCCGTGAAACCATCCAGTGGGTGAGGACAGCAAATGTAGTGTCTCAAGATCACCTCTGCAGCACTCAGAAGGCCCACAACGAGAGAAGAAAAAGCAATGCAACATAAGCTGCTTGTAGGCAGCACCATCTCTTGATATACAAGTGGGAATACTCAGCACAGCTCCAAACCAGGGAATGCCAGCAGTGCTGCAACCATGTGGCTTACCCTGTTGTGGATACATATGTTAACTGCTTAAAACTGCTCGACAAATGAGCATTTTTATCCAGGAAATGTCCTGCTGGATACAGCCATTGGGCTGTAAAAACTGTTGTCGGGCTCCATCTGGAAGTCTGAAGTTTTCCATCGCTTTAAAACCGAAGCTACGTGTGACCCTTTAAAGAAAACCTGCCCTGGAAACTGTAATCAGGGGGTTAAATGCCAGGCAGAAGCAGCAAACTGGGATGAAGTATGTGGTTCCTTCTATAGCACTAGGCTAGGAGAAGTCATCGTTTTCATTGGCAAAGTTATCACAGAAACTTTCTGTCTGAACACTGGACATCAACTGAATTATCAGTAATTCAAAAGAACACTCTCATCATTTGCCAGTATCAACTGAGTCTGGTTTCCAGGGGGCTGAAAACATGGAATGTGCAAATCAGTGAGTAGAAAACAACATATATGGGATTTGACATGACTAGAAGTAAATCCACCCCCCCCCCACACTGGATTCAGATTTTCTGGCGTAACTACCATTGCCAGCAATGAACGTGCCAAAAACGCCAGTCAATGACTTACATCAATCACCATAAGTAGGAACATCTGTCAATAGCACCTCCATACTTTGGGAAAACTAAGCCCCACTTCGAATAACCAGGCTTAGGCGAGCAAGGATGTCTAGCTTTTGAGAATCACACAGAGGAGCATCAGCAGATTTGACCCAGAGACACTAAATCTGGTGCCACCACCCACAACAGGAAAGCTTTTTTTTTTCTCTTTTAAATCTGTCTCAGCTCTGGTTCCAGAATTTAAATGCAGATATACAAAACATATATTTTAATGCTTCTTAATCAGCAAGAAACCGCAAATACATCTTTTACTACAACTAGATAATAGAATTTCAGCTAAGGCTATACTGTAGCTTCTGAGTCTTCATCTGAACTCCTGCAGTTACTGCTTTTCCTGAAGCCTTTCCACGTGTAACCCATGAAGGTTGGGCTGATGGGCAGGAAGCTGAAACACCTGTATTTCTTAATAAAGTTCATGCCAAAAGGCAAATCATATGTTTCCATGCCATCCAGTGACTTGCTTCCTTTACCAACCCCTTTCTTCCATTTCCTTATTCCCCTTTCTTCAGGGCTTCCTAGAAGTCAAAAGGGAAAAAAAAACACATATGTGAGTACTTTCATGCAAACACACACATACATAGTAGAAGTTAAGAGAAGAAGGAAGACCCCAAGTGTCAGACACCATGGTCAGTGAAGCAGTGGGAAGATCTTCCAGACACCTCAAAGAGGCAGGAAGAGGGGGAAAAATGTTTATTGGAAGTGGCTATTATCTGTTTTATTTTGCAACTTGAAGTTGAGGCAAATTTTTCCTCTCCAATGAATGGAAGCAGGTTTGGATCTTTAAAGTATTTAAAGCAACAGTCTTCTGAAGATGACTATTCTGGTTTCATTTTTATCAGCTATATTATACGTTTAGTAAGATGAAGACCTTAACCAAGTGTTCTCAAGGAAACCGAGGCACGTGGGTGATAAGCAGTCTGCTCGAGGTGTTGAAGAAGTCAACAACAAAAGCAGTACCCTCTTCCTCATCTCCTGCCTCCATGGAATGCTGTGCTAGCTCCATTCAGAAAGGCAGATGTTATGTCAGGTAAAATGACTGACCTGGAATGGTGTTATCCAAAATAAACGCAACGCAGCCACCGACAAACATGGCTGTAGTGAGAAGGACGTTCAGGACTTGATCGATGCCTGCTATGCCTACAAAAACAGGGAAAAACATTTAGAATTCCTTTTTTTAATCACATATACATGTCCTACTGATGTACACGAAGGGAAAACTTGCTATTGAGTTCACTGAGGGTTTTGCTCAAGCAGGATCTTTAAAACCACCTGGGAATAGATGCAGATGAACCTTCACCTAATGTAGTCCACCACAGGGACCCCTTCTTTCCCGAAGTGTAACTTCATGAGCTTTCATTGCTTATGCAAATGTCATGTAATGCCCTTTTAGTTTCTACTGCAGACAACTGCTTCATTTAAACTAAATGGAAAACTACAAAATGGAAAAAGGAGAAATGTTCATAATATGAAATCCTGTGGACTGAAGTAATTCCTTTAATAAACCTTCACTTTTTGAAAGGGCAAGACTTCAGAGAAGAACATTGCATTAATATATCATCACCTAACTCTGCCTGAATGATCTACATTTCTGGACAACTTGAAATAGGTTAGATATGCTCTTATAGCTGGTTCTGAAGCAATAGCTATAAAAAAGTTAGTTGATATTTCCCTTAAAAATCAAACCCCAGACAATTTCAGTATTCCTGCAGAGAGTCCTCCTTTGAGGACATGACCACTATAGAGAAGGAAGTATTAAACCAGCAATCCTTCTCCATAAATTCACCAAAACTATAAAACTGAATCACAGAATGGTTTGGGTTGGAAAAGACCTTAAGATCATCCAGTTCCAACTCCCTGCCTTGACACCTTCCACTAGATCTGTTCAACCTGGCCTGGATGCCAGGGATGGGGCATTCACAACTTCCTTGGGCAAGAATTTGGCCCAAAGTCTGAAGCTGATTTTATTAAATTATGTCAAAACTCCAAACAAATTCCGAGCCTCCAAGCTCCACCTTGGTATTTCCCTTATTCTTTTAAGACCATTATAACCCAGATTCACCCTTTCAGTCTTTCTTTCGGTCCAACTGGTGATCGCCTCCTTGCATTGCTCTGTAGTCATACCCAGAGAAAGCAGGACAACTTCAGAGGTATCCCATGGAAATACTCAATTCAGGTCTCAGCATCTCGATTAGTTCTCCTCTGAACACACCTCCCTTCTTATCTGGAGCTTTTATTGTCTCCATGATACTCTGGTGTTTCTCCTATTTACTCTTTAGATTACTATGTACTCGGTGTGTACTTCACATAGGAGTACAAGGTAAAAGCATGCTTCATGTAATGGGCAGAAACGCTTACCTGTGACCAGTGGATTTTGTTTGAGATAGCTTGGAAGGACAAGTCCAAAGAAAATGGAAAATCCAAGTACAAACAGGTTCCGAGAAGAATTTAAATCGATGAACTGGAGGTTAGACAGACCCACGGCTGTGATCATCCCTAAGTAAAAAGAAAACAAGTCCCAGCTTTTAGATAGTCTTATTCTTCAAAAAAAAGATAGCAACACACATCTAAAACAGCACTAAAGATCTGGCCATGCAGTACACAGAGGGGCAAAAAACATACGTTACCAAAGAGAGTGCAGAAGAGGGCACCGAGCACGGGGTCAGGCAGCGATGCAAAGAGAGCACTGAACTTGCCAACCATCCCAAGCAGGAGCATGAAGGCTGCCCCATACTGTATGACCCTGCGACTTCCAACCTGCAGGAGAGCAAAAGGGAAAGGACACAGGAAAAAATCCACATTTAGTCCAACCTGATGCCTTGCATTTTATTCTATTATTCTTTTCTTCATTTCAAACTTCAAGCTTTTCGGTTGTGTTCTAACACAGGCTGTAGAGCATTGACAAATGTCTTGGAGCGCTCAGCTGAAACATGGCTGCAGTCCAGTTATAACATAACTCGGTTTGAGTTTGTGTTCCTTAACATCATCTTTAAAACCATCTGCAACTGCTATAGCCACAGTTACCATGAAACGTGGTGCAGTCCCATAAAGAAAACAAACAGATCATAACTAGGAGGTGGCAAACATCCATTGTAATGCAAATGAAAAGAGAACAAATCCATGTGTCCCTGCCCTTTTACGCAAGGATGTAGGAATTAGGTACCTACCACAGAGTTCACTGGATGCAGGCTTTCTAGACAGAGATTATCAACTGATTTTGTAACATCCCTCTTTGAGATCAGAGGTGAATTTGCTTCATATGCAAATCATGCCTGTGCTAATGCTGTGAAACAAACTCCTGCACCTCCCATTTTTATTTTAAGCATCCAAACTTGGCAGTATTTCTCTGGCACAATGTTGTAGTGGTCACTGATAAACCTGAATGGTTGGTATTTTCATAGTCTACAATTACATCAGGCTTCCAATACTTTAACGGGGCCCACAAGAAACCTGGAGAGGGGCTTTGGACAAGGGATGTAGGGACAGGACAAGGGGAATGGCTTTAACCTGCCAGAGGGGAGACTGAGATGAGCTCTGAGGCAGAAGCTCTTCCCTGTGAGGGTGCTGAGGCGCAGGCACAGGGTGCCCAGAGAAGCTGGGGCTGCCCCATCCCTGGCAGTGTTCAAGGGCAGGTTGGACACACGGGCTTGGAGCAACCTGCTCCAGTGGAAGGTGTCCCTGCCCATGGCAGGGGGTTGATATTGGATGAGCTTTAAGGTCCTTTCCAACACAAACCAGGCTGGGATTCTATGATTCATAAGAGGTGCCCCAGGGACAAAACCAAACCAAACCAAACCAATCTGTTACACTGGTAAGGTGGTTTCCAGCAAAGCCCTTTGTAGGTCTCCCATTAAAACATATTAAGAGAAGTAGACACAAATTTGTTAATTATAGACTGGTTTGTGTTGGAAGGGACCTTAAAGCTCACCCATTTCCAACCCCCTGCCACTGGCAGGGAACACCTTCCACTAGAGCAGGTTGCTCCAAACCCCTGTGTCCAACCTGGCCTTTAGCACTGTCAGGGATGGAGCATTCACCATCTATCCCCCATCTTCACTATTTAACTGTCAGGTGAGATACGTTCCTCTATAAACAGAAGCTACACCAGTAAATCAGGGTGTTCACTAGAATAACAACAGAAGTTAGCTTGCACCTTTCTCTACTTTATAAAAAGATACTCATTTCCCTAGGACCACCAGTACCTTGCTCTAAAATTATCTTCCTGCATGAAACAGGCAGATTCTTTAAAGCATCCACGTGACAGTGACATTTATCTATGCAAATGCTGAACCACTACAGGGCAAACAAATTAAGCTCCTTTTGAAAGCTACTGAAAGCATCCTGGTGAGCATTTAGCTCAAACTACCTATTTATTCCCAGGCACTTGTGGACACACTTTATGTGATTACTTTGGAGTGCACGATATGGTACCTGGTACCTTACTGCAGTATCCATTTCATCACCAACACTTTGCCATAAGCTGCCTAGGCTTTTGTCCCAACTGATTAGGGGGGACTTCACTGATTCTCCTCGCATCAAATAAAGGAGTCTAACTCTAAGACTTTGCAGTATTTACATCCAGCTGAAGCCTCCAATTTAAATTCTAAGTGTAATCATACACTAATTTCAAAGGAGGTAAATGCTTTCCCAAATGTTGCACTGGCCTAACAGGATCACCAGGACTCTCTACTCACTGAAGATTTCCTCTCCCAAATCAACAGCAGAGTATCTACAAGCCAAACATCTATTTTGATGTAAATTGAAGTTGAAAATGTGAGGTTTTAGGAATGAGCATGCAGACAGGAAAACAAGACAAAACACTGGAGCAGAGCCATCCAGCTGTGCCATTCTGGATAAGGCATATTCACTTTCCATCATGTGCTCTGAGCAGAGCAGACTGTAGTTAACTCTGTTCTCTGGAACAGCTGCCAGTTTAACATTCATTTTCCATTGTTCCAAAGCAAAATGTACACTGCTTGCTGCGGACTGTGAATAAATAAGCGCTGTTAATTCATATCCACTCCTATGAAGTAACAACAGAGAGGAAGCAGAACAGAATAAACCTTTATTTCAGGATCTAAGTGAAATTTCTTCTAGGAAATTTCCATCACCAACTGAATGAAGCCTTACACAGTCAGCAGATGGTGCTATTAGTATTTATATTCCACCCTAAAACTGAACAGAATCAGCCTTTGTGCAAGAAAAAAAATGGCTGAAGGGAAATTCATCATCTTTATTGGACTAAGTCAGAGGGATGAGTTATTGTCAGATATTTTTTTCTATCTTGGACACAGGAAGATTTACAGCTTCTCACCGAAATTTGCAACAAAATGTACCTATTTACAACATAAATTACTCTTACTGATCTTGCTGATAATTTCTAAACAAGGTTAAGTTAACAGTATCAAGTAAATCTGTCTGCAGTCCAAGGTCTCCCGGTTCAG